CGCTGCCATATCCGCTGATCAGCACGCGCCACCCTCCTTTCTTTTTGATGTTAAGGTATGAAAGTCTTTAGCAATAACCGTAGTTGCACCACTGCATTGCTTTGGACCCAGCACCAGCCATACAGTATACTGCACACTAATAGCTTTCATGACAAGTGCTTCCCATTCGATGACCATATTCATCGATACCTGAAGACATTCTTAGCAATATCACCTTTATACATGCGTACATGTATATAATTACCTGTTACAAACGACTAGGAAATTAAGTTTCCCTTAGAAATTTACAGAGTACAGAAGTAGTTAACATCACAGCAACTAAGTTGTAGTCTATTTAGCAGAGTAAAATGGGTAGTGGAACAATTAGTGATAAAATTATGTAGAATGATCCTGAAGAAAACAGGTGGAACAGCAATATGTAATTTGACGGCTCGAGATTTTTGTGAGAGCTTGAATCTTTATCTTGAAAAAGATAATAATGATCGCCTAGACAGATCATGCTTCTACCTTCAAACATATACCATTCGCTCAGCCTATTGTTGAGACACGACCACGTTGGCTCTGCACAGATTTATGGGGCATTTTATAAATTAACATGCTTTCCTTTGTCGAATCTTCGAATATCAGTTCACAATGTCTCATCTCATTCATTTTCTAACAACGTCTTCACTTGCTCATTATATTCCATTAAACCTAACATTTTATAGCTCTTTATGAATTTTATTCGACTTATCCTATTCCTATTCTCTAAAGGGTACGGTTGTGCACCAAATACACACAAAGGTATGGAATCAATACGACCGGCCTGTGGATAATTGTATTAAACCAAAAGTGGACATCATGATAGTAAGACCTATAGGGTAGCATTATACATTGCAAATGAATTTTTTCAGCCCATGGATTATAGTCTCATTGTATTTCCTTTATGAATGCATCTATTAATGATACATTGCACTTACCTATTTCATTACACTCTAATGATTCACCTTAGCACCTTTACTTTTCTAAAACAGCTTACTATCCCTTGTAAACGTTGTACTTACCTCAATATTGGTTGGTTATCGTATGCCTATAAACACAGGTTGAAAACGAGACGAAGTCGATTTTCTCGCTCAACCTGGAGGACTACTGTACAATTCAATAATCATACGGCCTGGTTCAGACAATGAGTGTATTTATGTATATATCAAATATTTAACTGTTCAAACATTATTAACTTGTAGACAATCTACTATTTGACATTATATCATACTTGATCGTGCCTGTAAAAATGGCATGCATTTTCACGTAAATTTATGTGTATATGAAAATATTATTATTATTATTAAGAAAGCCTTGCGAATCAGAGAGAGGATATGGCTCACACTTTCTTACTCGCCTCTTCCTTTTAATTTTCTGATTGACTAGCTAGGTCTGAGTGAAGATGGTTTACAGTGTCGTAGAAAACCCACGCTGAATTCCACTAACTGTTGGTAGTGGCGTAATAATTGTGATGAGGGTCTACTGCCTATGATCTCCCCCGGAAACAACCGTTTTATTTGGTGGTTTTCAGAAAACGAGTTGTGTTTTGTCACCTGGAGTGATGAGCGACGCCTAAGTTCCTGAATCTAATGGTTGACGAAGCAAGGTAATTTGGACTACACGTCTCTGTAACTCATAATCTCGGGTTTAATGCCTCTCTAGGAAACCGGTTAGTTTGGCTGCTTAAGTGGATTTAGTCTCACTTTCAGTCCGTTTCAACCTAAAGTAAAAATGGCATGTATTTTCATGTAAATTTATGTTTATATGAAAATATAAAATTATTATAAAATTATTATTATAAAGTAGCGCTCACGGTTTATCCGAGGCCATGTGTCCTGCTAGACCTGAACTTTGGCTACACTACCCGCTGACTCTTTGGACTGGCTCACCTAACCTAGTGTCCAGGCTAGTCTTAGCACCACCCCGACCAGCGAGCGGAGGATATAACACCTACAGCTGCCGAAAGGTGTATTTATTGACGATGATTTGAAAAGATGGCATAGATATACAATCACACCACGACGAAGCTGCCACGCCCTTCTCCCTTGAAAATTTAATGGTCCACCTCATGCCTCAATCTGCAAAGATAAATAAATAAATCGTTAAGGATTTGATTGATTTACCGAGCTCCTTTGATTCTCCACACTGTATCTGTCGAAGTCGGGCAGACCATAGTTAAGGATCGCGTCTATTAAATCCCGCTAACCTAACTCTCCTAAAAACTAAAGAAGCTAACTCAGCAGAAATGAAGGTTTTAAAGTCAGACTCCACGGATGGAAAATGAGAGACTGTAATGAACAAAAACTGAACTAAAATGTACTTACAAATTAAAGGATCTAAAAAAAATCAAAAATGATGTATATGATTTAACGTTGCCCATGATGCATAAGAAGGCTTATTGTGAACGAAATCAGGCTCACCAAATTAGCAACCAACTTTCCTGTCGAAATTACTCAGAATTGTCTCTCGATAAAGCGAGCATGACAGCTGTGAAGCTTGAGTGTGTATTTCGTAAGCACAGTGGTGGACAAATGAAGTGGGAAAACCTAGTCAAAAAGATAGAAGGGCGCTCATCACTCAGCAGGGGAAGGGAACCCCAGAAATTATAGAAACAATACAGTTCCCACATTGTTACTAGTCTTGTCCTTCTGAATACCTTAATTAACAGGTGCATTTGAGTGACCATAGCTATATATGTTGTACGGACCCCACACTTATACTTCTTGACACCAAAATCTTTTCTCAAATACATGCCAGTGACTGCATAGTTGTAGGGGACTCAATAGCGAGCTGGGTAACGGTGGAAAATATCAGGATAAAAGTCCAAGCTGGTGAAAGAATATTGAAACCGCATATTATAAATACTACGGCTCAGGAATTATAGAAGTTAATAGTTGCTTGATGATACGGTCAAAGTCCGCTGCTAAAAATTATTGATACAATCCATAAACGTTTTCATTGCTGAGGTCATGTCTACTAGTAGAAGCTGTGCACTAAAATAGTCTTTAGTTAAGAGGATCCTGCAAATTACAAAGGATACAACATGGTTAGTAGTGAAACAAGTAGCAAGTATGGACCAGTGAGAAGACGAAGCGAAAAGTAGCACGCTATATTTTTCTAATTGCAACACGAAGTTACGCATATTTTGCAACGAATCGTTTGAAACAAAAGTTATGTACAATGTTTCCATTCGTAACATCTAACAGAAAAGTGTACAGTCATACTGTTCCAGACTCCACATAGTACACGAATGACTTTCTGCATCACATCTGTGCCCGAAAATCAATCCACTGATGTGATACTTAGACAACAACATTTTGGGATGTTTTTCCTCACCAGACGGAGATGAATCGTACAGTCGACCACCCAGACACATGAGGCTATCCAGTAAGTTAGAGCGAGTCCATTTCTCGTGCTCCTCAACCACCGGATGACGCTAACAGTTTAGGTTCCTGCACTAATCTGGCTAGGCAGCACGGTTTCAACCACAGGCAGTCGGAACGGATGAAAAAGTCAGTGACAGTCAGAACTGGAAAGTCAAGATATGCCTTCACCAGCCTGAAATCAGTTTGGTAATCTTCTACACTCGTTCAGCATGTGGAACATGAATAGGATTTTCAACACGGAAATGAAACCAGTCAGCCTTTCTATACAGGTCAGAAACTTGCACTGCGAGTCACGAAAGGAATTTACAACAAGTTAACAGACCACCTTCGCTGGCTGGATCCATACTGTAGATCAAATGGCCGGATAGACAGCCAGAAAAACTAGCAACTAGAAACTCTGGCTGGGAACAAACTAACCAAGAGCCAATCATTCAACAAATGTGTAGTGGAAAATTGAGATAGATGGGTATACGCTGAGGCCGTTGAATGACTTCGCGCACAATGCAAGCCGTCGCTCGGGTGGAATCTCAACGGGAACCTACAAGCAGGTCATGCGAACGTGACATGGAAGAGATAGTGAAGGGAGGAGATGAGAGATTATGGGCGGTAGCCATGGAACCAGCCACCTGAAGAGGTCAACAGAAAATAGAACAAAGTGGAGATGTGTTGTTGAAGATATGTGTTCCACTCGGAACCCAAGGGAATAATTATAATATATAATATAACCTGGATAACTAGATGACTAGTGTTCTCTTATCCCCTTCAGAATGTGCCTGTTTTAGACCACCTGTCTCTAGATTCATAATTGAATATCGTCCTCAAATTGTTTAGTATTTCCTTGCTTCCAGTGAGGTGGTAACACACCACCTTACTTGGTGACCCCCATATTGTTTTGAAACTAATATGATCCATCCAATATGTGTTCTGGCTCAGAATAGTTGTCTTCCCTTCCAGTGTATTGATCCGAATCCGATTTAAGTCCTCAGTATACCGACCAGTCAAAAGCCTAACTGCAATAATCTTAACGTCTTCCAAACTTTTGAAGGCGTTTAACTTTTATTCAGTAAGGGGTTACCAGTAGATATTGGTAATCCATGTATTGCATAAGCTCCGCTTATTTTTGCCAAATTACAATCATAAAACGAAATGGTTCTAAGGTAACTGCTGAACTCACATCAATCATAAAGCATATAATATTTGCACACATAGCTGGTTGTAATATCGAGTACTTCCGGATAGGCCGCTGAACACATTTTCAGAATGTTAAAGACTGACCCACCTCACCCCCTTTATTTTTCTAAACTTAACCTAGCTCTTGATACACTGTAACTTCCTCGAGGCAATTATAGTGAGTTTCATATGCTATTTTCAATCATTTGTTGAAACATCGGGTCTTCTGCTAAGTGAGCATGGAATGATGCTTTCAGCTTACAGTTATTCCGTCTAACTGGTACTTATATTGGAGAAGAAATTATATTCTGTTAGTAGCAATTACCACATGCATGACTGATGACCATTTATTTTATAATTCTGGCTACTGATAGTCATTTTGTTTAGCTGTATCGAACGCAAGTTGCGCTAATTCAGTCAGACATGTCTCGGCCATCGAAAGAAGACTGGGTTTGTAGTGACCCAAAGTGAGATTGCCGGACTTCCATTAATATTATTTAGATGTAAAAATGTTAATTTTGCTAAAAGAGAGAGATGCAACCGCTGTGATAAGCCTAGGAAGCATGGACCGTCAAGCAAAGCTGGTTTTGAGGTCGGTAAACAGCTAGCTGAGAAAAGCAAAGGACTTTTTAGTCCAGATGATTGGATATGTAAGACGTAAGTCTGTACTAGAAATCATTGTTGGCATCGAAACCATTGTTGCTTCAGCCGCTTAGCTTCTGTTATAGGTTACATACTAGTCGATTTAGGAAAAACTGCACCATGGTTGTATTACATATGCGTTCCATAAACATCTAAAGTATATATGCAACCAAGTTAGTTTGTTGAAGTCGTTTGAAATAACAGTTGGGAAGCCAAATGTCACTGAATTCCCCAACCCTATTCTAGTTTGCGCCACACTGAAACGTCAGTTGGTTCGTCCATATTGGTGGAGATTTCGACATAAATTTTGTATATATGAACCATTTGAGTTAGCGAACTCTTTCATACCTCGGTCTCGTGTGTAGAGCTTCGTCTTTATTAGTACCTTTCTAAATATCAACCGAGCGTTTATTATATGATTTGCCTGTCCATTCAGTCTTTTGTTTGCTTAAACTGTTTTCTCGAGGATGTCTATCGATACTAACCTACCAGAATAACCCTTGATGACCTCTTAGTCAGCAATTCTTGGACAATCACTGACTTGATCTAATTACCGGACAAAATTCGACTTCGGGACATCATTCGAATACTAATGATTTAGATAAACAATCTCTTAAATGACTTGATTTTTTATCCGATTTAGTTAGTTCACTTTTTTTCTTTTGGTTAAACTGTATTCTTTAGCTTAATCTTTTCATAAGTGCATTTCATAACCTGTTAGTTTCTATTTTTATTCCTTCGGATTCAATCCTGAATGGAACATATACTGCTTCAAGGTTGGGGCATGAAGTTTCATTACTTGTGGTGTTGTTTTTGCCGGATAGGATTGCCGTCCTTGCACCCAACCCCCCCCCTACTCACCGCGTTTACTGCTGGCTAAGTGAGGTTTAAGCGTTCGTCTGTTGGTCCAGAATCAAACCCGAACCACTTGCGACGAATATTCTACCACCGAAGCAACTTGTCAATTTAGTATGAGTGTGAGATAGTTTAGATCCTTGAGGGCAGTAATGTTGCCTAAAGCTCGAAATCTAATATCGAAAGTTTTAGGTGCACTGCTCCTATCAACGAATTTTGTCACTACACCATCACACATTTCAAATCTTTAGTTTCATTAAGTTTCTTCTTGACATTATGAGATCTACCTATATTTGAATAATGAAACTATACACAGCTGTTTTTTTATGGGATTGAAACGTCTTTGCAAGCTGGTTAGTTAGGAAATCATTTGTGACTCTGCTTATCCAAGTTTTACGACTCCAACAAGCTGTAAAGTTCTCATGTCAAAATACGACATAACATCTTTCTTTTCATCAATGCCACCTTGTGTTAACGCTGTCAAAATCGCCAATGTCTAAGTAAGATTTGACGTTACTGTCCTAAATAGCTCACCGTATATCAAGGTGAAAAGTGATAAGGACTGATAATGCTCTTAAGAGTCATGAAATGAGGACAATAAAAGCAATAGAAATAGACGTCGATAGGTGTGCTGTATTTCTAGCGACATCTCAGAGTTTATGTCGATTTCCCAGCGGGCAACAAGAAAGTATGCACTAAATTGAAGGGCTGAGAAAAGTGGCCACTTTTGGAATCACCATCCTTACTCTTCTGTTTACTCAGTATGACTTTGGACAAAGTTAGGGGGATTTTTAATTTGTGGGTACATTGTAACCACTTCACTTCATAGCTTATAATCCCATCAACTAATATGCATCTTTTACCTTTCATGTCAAGCCATCCCTTTCCTCGATGAGCAATGTTAGCAAACAGGGTTAGATTGGAAAAGAGTTAGGGATGGTCAGACCAAAACTTGGCACCAGTCAATGAAATCTTTGACACAGTTGATTTTAGACAGGTACGGTTTGTGATGGTAGGAACCGATGTCTGGAAACTATTTGTGATATGGCTAGAATCTCTGTCAGTGGTGCAAATACTCCCACTCTTTGTGATCTCTAATGGTCCCCCCCCCCACGCTTTTCCATGGTACTATTCTTTCTCCCTCACATTTTTGTTTATTATCGTTCCTTGGAATCTCATTTTGCAGTAGCTGTAACTGGTGTACTTCTGTGTAAAGTTCTAGATTGAAATTCACTCAGTCATCTTTTATCCAAGATTAAGTGCAACCGATAAATTAATGATTTATTGGTTATACCGTGCCCAGACGACAATACGATAATAATAATAATGAAACACTCGAAATCGTCTTTAGTGATCATATAAGAAAAACAAAATAGGTTTTTATTCAGATTCAGATTATAAGGATAGAAGGCTCTTGTTGCCTATGTTAATCTTTGTGACATAGATTATCTCTGCAGAGATCCATTTTCTCTTTGAAAGCGTTCACCGATGGAGCTGTTATCATTGAATCAGGTAAGGAGTTCCAGTCTTTGACTACTCTGTGAGAGAATCTAAATCCCACACGCATTTTATTCGACCTCGGTTTGAGCACCTTCGTGTGGTGACCTCGTAAATGTATCCTAGAGGAAGAGAAAAGATTTTAAAGGTTAATCCCTAAATCAATCCTTAATATACGGTATGCCGAAATTAAGTCGCCTTTCGTCCTTCGGTTTGATAATGGGAAGAGATTTAAATGATCCATCCTCGTACCATAAGCAAGGTGTGAAATACCACTAATTTGGTTCGTACCCTCTGTACTCTTTCCAGGATATGTGCCTGCTTTTTGATGCATAAACTCGCCGTTTGTATGCAGTATTCTAGATGAGATCTGACATATGTTGCATAGAGTACTTGAAACATACACTCATCTAATGGTTTGAAAGCCCTTCGGAAAGCCTTAGCTGCGACTCCATTACGATTTGCCGTTATTTTTAAATCACAGCTTACAATAATCTCTAAGTCCTTTTGTCCCTTAATATCTGGCAGCTGTGTCCCCCAGGGAGTACAATGTATAAGATCTCTGACCTAGATGCATTACCACGTTTTTCTTGGAATTGATTTCCAGACTCCAGAGGTTAGCCCATTCAGCTGATTTATCTAGATCGTTTTGCGGCAACAACTTATCATCGTTATTATTTACAATTTTCCTTATCTTAATATCATCGGCAAATAATAAGGAAGATGAGGTGAGAATCTTCGGCACTTCATTTACGTATAGTAGGAATAGCAGGGGGCCAAGAACAGTTCCCTGAGGTACTCCACTTAGTACAGCTTTCCACCCTGACAGTACATCGTTAACCCTTACTTTCTGTCTTCTATCCATCACATAGTCGCTGAACCACTCACATAGGTTCCGAAACGTTTGAGTTTACTAAGAAGACCTAAACTGTGCGTCGGTGGCACAGTGGTTAGGACTCTCGCCGACCATGCACATGGTCCGGGGTTCGATCCCCTGCCGACGCACACCCGATATCAATGGTCGGCCTGCAAAATTTGGGCTACCGATATCACATGCTGAAAATTCCACACTTGTACCAAAAATACGGTGTGGAATCAAGCTATAATTTAAAAAAAATGGGATACCTTATCGAATGCTTTACTGAGATCGATAAAGACAATGTCCAATAGATAGTTCTTATCCCTGGCTTTGACCTAATCTTCCCTAGCTAACAGTTAGTTTGTCAGGTAGGATCGTCCTGGTCGGAATCTGTACTGTTCCACCGCCAGTAAGCCATGTTTCTCCATATGAGCTAAGAGCTGATCCCTTATGCATATATATATATATATATATATATATATGCTTTCTAAATCCCCCACTGGCAATTTTTTCCCAACCTGCGTGCCTGAACTCGAACCATTTTGCCTTCCCCATAATTCATGTTAGCTTAGCGTATGACGTAGTTGTAAATGTTTTTCGCAGACTTTTACTCAAATTTGTCAGAAAAACTCATCATTAGAGTAGTTTCTTGTGCATAATTTTTCTGATTTTTGTGTAGAGTTTGACTTGCTTATTAAAAAAAACTGAATCACCCAGCCGTGCAGTGAGAACTTTATTTTTCCACTTTGCTTCTTCGTTAGGCTTACTGTTGTCTGTTTGTTCATGAAGAAGTACAGTTTCCGTCACTTCAATTAACACTTCCTTTGCCTTGCTTACTGAAGCTGGTGTTCCTCAGCGTACAGTTCTCTCCTCTCCTTTCTTTTTTCTTCTTACATGGCTTACTGCTTTCCGATGGAATCTACTTCGTTAAATACTCTGACGATTTGACTGTCTCGCCACCAGTCACCTCCTGATCTAACTGTTCCAAACTCAATAGCTTTTTGTCGGACATCAGTCAATGGTCTGAGCTAAATGGCTTTATGTTAAATCCCCCTAAGCGTCATACAGCTGACTTCGCATTTTGGCTTAAAGGACGTGATCTACACGGACTGGTCCGTTAAAAAGATACTTGTAGCATAGATGTCACTGAAATTGAAACCCAGTCAAGAATCAAATACCTTGGAATAGTTCTATCCTCCGATCTGTTTTGTTCGGTCATTCCATATTTTATCGATCTCCAAAAAAGTGTTCCGTCTAAGCTACTACTACATTAAGAAACTAAGAAAATATGGTATCACTCAACCTCTACTTTTACAATTTGTTAACTCTTATATTCTTGCCTATTGCACTTTCCTTCTCCCCTCACTTTAGTCTTTCCTGGGCTACTCAAAAGGGACTATGTAATTCCTCTCAGGGGGTGTTAAAGGTTATTATTTGGGCAAGTGATAGTGTTCTATTTAGTCAACTTGCGCTACTCTACATTAGTTGACAGACATCTGGAGTCATGCCAGAAGTTGTCTAAAATCCATACTGTATGACCTTCAGCACCACCTCTACTCTCAACTCTTCCCTTGTATCTTATCTTGTAGGACTAGAAGTCTGTACAAAAGATGATATATGCCCTGTAGTGTACCAAGTACAGGAATTCAACGACACCATATTTTTCCCCCATGGTCTCTGTGATAGAGACAGTGTTAACCATGAATTCATGTCAACTTTTGACAATTTGTTCTCTCCTTTTTTGGTTTTGTTGTCGTTGTAGATGTGGTAATGTGAATTGGGCTCGTCGAAATACCTGTAATGTATGCAATGCTCCAAAAATTGATATACAAGGTGAAAGAACCGGTTATGGTGGTGGATTTATGGAACGTGATGAAGTAGTCGAATATCGTGAGCATAGAGATTCAGATGATGAATTTGATGAATTCGGTCGTAAAAAGAAACATTTTCGTAAAGGTCAAAGTGATCAATTGAACAGTAATCATGATTCATCGGATTCAAGTAATCATAACAACCTACAAGAAAGCCACAATTCAATGAGTCATGATCATATTGATAAAGCTAATGATCAGGTGGATGAAGACGACAACGAAGATGATGAAGAAGACGAAGAAGAATCCGGTGATGATGCTGATCTATCGAAATATGATATTTGGGGTACAGAAGACGATGATGTGACTACTAATAAGTCAAAAATGTCCGCCACCGCCAACAAAAAATCACATAGTCGAAGTGCTTCATCGTCTTCAGGCTCCGGCTCGGATTCCGATTCTGACTCATCCTCTTCTTCAGCCTCCTCTTCATCTTCCAGTCATGCTTCACAATCAGACTCATCATCCAGGTAGGTCAGAATTTTGTTGTTGTTGAAAGACTGGCTTCTTCCTAGTGTTGTATATGTTGTGTATGCGTATTTTTGATGTATTTTTCTATCCTGTTGGGACTTTAAGTAGAGAAGTCTTTCTATAGTTTGGTTTGTAAGGGTTTGTTATGTTTTTTCCCCAGTGGGTGCGTACTGCCGATGATTCCCAAACTAGGATGAAACAGCAGCTGTCCAGTACTCCCTGGTTTTCAATGGTTCTCTAACTGATATCAGTCCGTGATCAACTCGTAAAAACATTACAAACCCTTACAAACCAAACTATAGAAAATCAATCTGATGCTCGCTAGTGACTTGCTACAGGATGGAGTTTACTGGAGTTCTAGTGAGAAGTCGTGACCAGTGAGGTCCAATTAGATGTCACGTGTGTGGGTGGATGTCCCACCAACGACAATGGTTGGGGTCGCGCTAAATCACAAATTGGTAGAAGTTAGAATTCATGGGTTAGCCATTGAATTGGGTCCCAGTGGCTGAATGGTATACCAGCTTGCCTTGTAACCGGAAGGTCCTGGGTTCGAATCCCAGTGGGTGCGTACTGCCGATGATTCCCAAACTAGGATGAAAGAGAAGTCTTTGGTTAGAAGTAAGAATTTTCAAGTTTATTTGGTTTTGTAGGGATTTAGTTTTGATTGGATGCAGGATTTTATCATGAGCTGACATCAGTTAGAGAACCACTGGAAAACCAACTATTTCGTCAACCTAGTTTGGGATTCTTCAGCAGTACGCACCCACCCACCCACACTACGGGGTTCGAACCCCAAGACCTTCTGGTTACAAGGTGAGAGAGCTCGTAGACCATTGAGCCACTCACTGGGACCCAACTGATCCAATGGCCCATGAAGTAAGAATTGTCAAATACTGAAAAATTGAGTTGACATCGCACAACCATTTTTTACTACTGGATTTAAACATGTTAAAGACTGAGATCATGATTTAGTACTCCCCGCCGTGTTTATCGTGGCTGACTGGTTTCAATGTAGAACTTTGCACAGATGTGCAGCAGTTCGAGTTGCCACACTCTCCATGTATGTAGCACACAAAGCAAGAGAAGAGAGTAGAGAGAGATTCAGAAGAGAGATAATAAACTGAAATATGAAGAAAAAAGAATACTAGTAATATGGCAGAACAAAAGAGTTCTATCGGACATGACAAATCTCAAAGAGTGAATGCATCTGCGCCAGCCATTGAAAACGATTTTGAACCGTACCACTGATTGTCTGCAGCCGATGGTTCTTAGAATTCCAAGGACCTCAATTAGGAAGTCTACACCTCCCTATGTGGCCGGCTGGCTGGCTTGAACTAACTTTATGGATTTCATTGACTGGTGAAGCTATGTCTTGGTTTGACTACCACTAGCTCTTTTGTAACCTGATCCTATGTCAGCTAACATTGACAGTCGAGGAAGGCGATGGTTAGGACATGTGTGCTCAATCGATGCAGCTGCTTCACAACCTGGTCGATTGATTTCCCCTCCGTCTTACCTATCACTCGATCGATGCCTAACCTCAATATTACTCACCCTCTTATGCCACCCAACATGTATTGATGAATAATAGTGTGAGCTCAGGTTATGATAGTTTAAGCAGATGCACCATCCTTTAGTCTTTTCCAACGAAAATTCCTCATGGAAGACGATGGATAGTTTGACATGAGTAATATGTGTCCTAGCCCCACCCCCAGGACTATCCAACCTCGTCAACTGACTGAAGTTCCCTTAATAATTTCGATATCTACACTTAGCCCCCTTATTGACTGACTGACTGACTGTATTGCACCAACTAACATGAGAAGTTGAGTACAGATTAACTGCGGTCAAAATACCACAAATCTCTTCGAATTTTCCACTTTTAACGGCCAGGTTACATCTGTAGCAGAGTACACACGTGTTTTTGTGGGTTAACAGATATCATGAAAATGCCAAAGATGGCACAAGTCGGCATATGCAAATTGAACCATTCTGTACACGTGGCGTTGATGTTTCGTTAGCAGTCAGTCTGTCAGAGCTGATGCGACTGACTCTCCAAATAAGCGACATGACATTCAACCACTTGATGACTGACTCTCTGTTCTCATGTTAAGAAGCGGTGCCTAAGAGTACTGATTATAAAAACACAAACTAGATATATTATGAGCGCTAACATGCGCCACACATTGTTGTCATGTGTCATGCTTCACTTACTTGGGAAGTACCATCAGCCCCAACGGGTTGATCTCTGACGAAATCTCAGCACGAATACAGAGGGCTAGTTTCGCATATGCCAGTTTGCGCCGTCTCTGGCGTAGACGTGATATCCGACTGGCTATCGACCAAAGGGCGTGTGTACTGCTCAATAGTCCGCTCCGTCCTCCTTTATGGCTGTGAGACCTGGCCATTCAGAGTGGAAGACATGAAAAGCCTGGCTAGCTGTCTTTGATCATAGGTACCTGCGTTCTATCTCCCGTGTGAAGTGGATTAATAGGGTGAGCAATATTGGGGTTAGGCGTCGAGTGCTAGGTTAGGAGGGGAAATCAGTCGACGAGACTGTGAAATTACATCGACTGAGATGGTTAGGACATGTGTTACGCATGCATGCCTGGTCATCGCTTTCCTCGACAATGGGCAATGTTAGATGATATAGGGCCAGGCTCGAAAAGAGCTAGCGGCAGTCAAACCAAAACATGGCACTAGTCAATGAAATCTACAACAGTTAGTTTAAGCCACGTAAGAAGGTGTAGACTGGCTTCCTGGTTTGGGTCCTCGTGACGGTAAAAACCAATGAAGGCTGGAGACAACTGGTGATATGTCTCAAAATCGTTCTCAATGACAGCGCAGATGCATCCACTCCTTGTGACTTATGATTTCCAATTAAACTTTTGTTCTTCGTTACTACTATACCTTTGTCTCACACCTCTGTTTACTGTCTATACTACACATTTCTTCTCTTGCTTTGTGTGCTACATGGAGGGAGAGTGGTGACTTGAACTGTTGCACGTCGGTATAAAGTTCTATGTCGGAAACAGACAGCTGTGAGGGTTGGAATACTTCTTAGACGTATAGACCGAAGTAGGTGGTTGTCTTAAGAGACCCCACGGCTCCCCCCACGAGCCCTTAACTTGAAGTTCGATCCACAGAGCAGTGGAGCTGCGTTCTCATGGTTGGGCGGTGACCAAAACAGGCGGTTCATACGCCATTCGGTTCGTTCGGATTCTGGAGCCCATGTACACCATAGGGTAGACCATCATGTCCACCAGTCTGGTTGTAAACGCCAAACATCCTAATTCACTCCTGTGAGGAGGATCCCCGCCCCGTGAAGGTAGTGAATAGGATTTACCTGGCAGAAGCTATCCAGGTGAGTGGTCACAAGGGAGCATTTCGAAAGGAAGGCCGGAGTCTAGCTACCTTCGGCCCCACGAAGTCGTTTATGAGGCTATTTACGATATTGCACTAACTAACACGAGTAATTAAACACTTGCACGTGTGGTCACAATCTTCGAATGTCTTCGGATTTTCAATTTCTAATGGCCAGTTCTCAGGTGCAAAGTAATACGAAGTGAACTGTTGGATAGTGTGTACACGTCTTTTTGTCAGTAAACAGATGCTATAAAGGCGCAAAACATAGTACACAAGTTGGCATAGACAAATTGAGTCATTTGTATTCGTGTTGGTATTCGGCCAGTAATCATCAACCTGTTAAGCCTGATACAACCAACACATTCAACCACTTCACTCGCTAGCCTTCTTATACTAGGAACCGGTGTAGAAGAAGAGTCCTGCAGCAACATTTTACATTGTCCTATACTATACACGATCCGATCATATCTCTCTCTCAAAGGAAGCAAGATCAAGACATTTGGGCATAGCTTGAATGAAGCACTAGCGATCCGAAAGTTCAAGCCAACACTATGTGTATGCAAAAGAAGTATTGTCCCACCTTTCTCTCTTTATCACCATCATTATAGGCAGTTAATCCTCCTGTTTATTTTTCCTATTATTACGTGTCTAGTAGTCATTTGTAATCTTGTTATTCATTATAATTTAACCTTTGACCGGAAATAGTTCCGGAGCTTTCTCGCTTCTTGTGTTTAATATTCATCAGTGATGTACAGCCTCGTTGATAGCTTCGTCGAAAAGATTTTTTTTCTTCATTGCAACATATCGATCGGTCCAATAGTTAAGGTTAAATCATCTCTTTTATAATGACAGCGAAGCCATTGTGTAATCCTACCTGTTCAAAATTATTTCACTCCTTACAACAACTGTGCTAACATCCGGCCTGTTTTTATGTGTTACCTGTTTATTTAATGAGTTCGACTGACTGACTGACTAACTGCACCGATGTGTAGCAGTTCGAGTCGCCACACTCTTCACTCAGCACACAAAGCCAGAAAAGAAAGTAAGAAGCAATGCAAAATAGAGACAGTAAACAGAGATATGAGACAAAAAGAATAGTAATATCCAAGAACAATAGAGTTGTATTGGATAAGTCACAAGGAGTAGATGCATCTGCGCTAGCCATTGACAACGATTTTGAGCCATATCACCAATTGTCTCCAGCCGTCATTGGTGTTTACCGTCCCGAGGACCCCAACCAGGAAGTTTACATCTTCCTACGTGGCTGGCTTAAACTAACTGTTGTGGATTTCATTGACTGATGAAGCCATGTTTTGGTTTGGCTCTTTTCCAACCTTATCCATTCTCTGTCAGCTAATATTGCGAGTTGAGGAAGGCAGGCAATGGCTAGGCATACGTAACACATGTCCTAACCATCTCAATCGATGCAGCTGCTTCACAACCACCTCATCGATTGATTTCGCCTCCCTCCTTACCTAGCACTCGACACCTAACCTCAATATTGCTCACCGTATTAAACCACTTCACACGGGAGATAGAACGCAGGCACCTATGATCAAACACAACTAGCCAGGCTTTTCATGTCTTCCACTCTGAATGACCAGGTCTCACAACCATAAAGGTGGACAAAACGGACTACTGAGCAGTACACACGCCCTTTGGTCGATAGCCAGCCGGATGTCACGTTTACGTTAGAGTAGGCGTAAACTGGCATAATGAGGGTAGAGTAGATTCCTCATGTGCCAAACTGTTAGCTGTTGTGTCAGACAGTTCATGATACAGTATCCATTTGATGGTTAGGTTGGAATTACCTGGGAAATCTGACTGCAATTGACAAGTGCTTCAGCCCATGAGCCACATTCCCATTTTTTTGCGAGTGGAATGCAGAACTTCAACGGCACATCTCCATTTCACTCGCTTGTCTGTCATTCACTCTCTTGGTTGACTTGACGACTGCCTACAGGTGCTTTCATTTTCTCTTCACATGATCTTCGCCGAATCACCCTGGTAGTTACGACAAACCCGTTGCTTTTTTCCAGCCACGTTCCACTCGATGGCCTGTAAAGTTGTTGCTGGGTTCGTTGACTGCCAGAGTTTTCTTGTTATTTATTCATCCTTTCTGAGGCTATTTGATACATCATATGCCTAGTTATTATTGAACATTATTTAGTATTTAGCCACCTTCACGTGATGGTGGTAGTGTACCTCAAAACAGTGAGAGGGCGAACACGAACGTGTGTGTGCGTGTACATGGGCTCCAGAATCCGAAAGAATAGAGAAAAGCGTCCACCTGCAACGCTGCTCTGCTGAATTATGGATCAAACTCAAAGTCTCGGGGTAGGGTAGGGTGGTTGCTAAGAGCTGGTCCCTTAAGACAACCATCTGCTTCAGTCTGGGCGTGTCCAGACAGTATCCTACCTCTTATGTGATGCATCTCTTGGTGACCATCGGTGGCGCGGTGGTTAGGACCCTCGCCGACCATGCACATGGTCCGGGGTTTGATCCATGGCCGACGCACACTCGATATCAGTGGTCGGCCTGCGAAATTCGGGCTACCGATATCATATGCTGAAAATTCCATACTTGTATCGAAAATACTGTGTGGAGTCTAGCTATAATTAAATTTTTAAAATTTTTAAAAATCATGTACCAAGTTGGTGTTTTGAATGAGTAAAATACAAATAATCTAGTGTTTTCACATTATGATTAACATTATAATCCTTTTTTTATATGAACGTTTATATTTTCATTTTACTTCCTCCTTTATGACAGCGAATCCTCCTCCAAACCTGAAGATCAACAATCCAGTGGTGGGAAACGAGCTCATCCTAACAACAATAACAACAACAACAACAACGGTGATGTGCACAGTGATTCTGGCGATTCAACTCCAGTGAATCAGAAACGAAAAAGGCGTACTGCTGATGCTAATGATCATGGACAACGTGATCGGTCGAGGTTCGGTTTCAGAGAGGAAGGCCAATCTCTGTCTAATATGACACAACACCTCGCGTGTTCTATTTATATTATATGCGTTATTATATAGAATAGGGTTTTCTATTTTTTAGAAACTGTGTAGTGTGCAGGTTCGGAGTGGAACATAAGGCTTCAACAAGATATCTCTACGTTGTCCTATTTTCTGCGGTTCTCTTCAACTGGCTCCACAATTGCTCATAGTCTCTGATAGTCCCTCTCTGTGTCATCTTTGGACATCCAACTCATCTCCCACTCCGGGCTCCACTCGAGCGATGATCTGGCGTTCGGCGTCATTCGACGGTCTCCTCAGCCTGTACCCGATTCATCTTCATTTTCTTCAGCATATTTATTGGGCTATTGGTTTTTGCTTAGTTTATTGTCAGATTCCCTTGTTGCTAATCCATTCTGGTGGCCGTATGTGATATTCAGTATGGAGCGAAGGCAGCTGTTGGAAAGGCTTTTGGAGACGCATCAAGTCTCTGACCCACACATAGTACTTACACTTACATTGATATAGCGCAACTATGTGTCATAGATTTGCGCTAATCCACGGCATCGTTTATAGTTTGGCTACTTCTAGGTATTGATTCATGTATAAGGGAGAGTTGCTATCTCATCGCTGAGGTTTTATCTTCAATATAAAATAATCTACGACAATTTTTGATGTGGTTGTGTTCTCTGAGCTGGATAGTTAATTTGAGAAGCTTTCATCACCCTACTAGGTGACATCTTCAGCGCATACTTCAATTTGAAGTGAGCTTTGAGATTTCTCCACGAGTTTATCAATCATCTATCCTGGTGACCTTGGACGTGATTGGTTGTTTTGTGTTTTCACACCTTCTAGGTTACTTTGATATAAGAATAAAACTTGGGCACTGTGGTAGAGTGTAATTCCATTATGGTTAAATTTTATTTTGATAGAGTCTCACAGTGTTATACAGTAATATTTACTGATGACGGTTTGAGCACAATTTATTGCTCATAATCATATCAAGGTGATATGATTATGAGCAATTAGATTGTGCTTCTAGGTTACTTGTATTGGAACTGATTGTTTCTTTGACTTGAACTTTGACCCTTTGTGTGTGAGGTTTCTTTCTTATCGGTTGATAAATTTTGTCTATCTCGATGTGTCTATTGATTGATGATTCACTGGAATGCCAAGCTTCCAAAAATTCTCTAGCATTCTTGTTGTTTCCTCTGTCTAATATTTGAACGTTGTCCCAGTCGAATTGATGTCCGTGGTTGTCTGTATGTAGTGATATGAGGGAGTGGATATCATATCTTTTGACAGCTAGCTTATGTTCGTGGATACGAAGACGAATTTTTAGAAGCTTGGCATTCCAGTGAATCATCAATCAATAGACACATCGAGATAGACAAAATTTATCAACCGATAAGAAAGAAACCTCACACACAAAGGGTCGAAGTTCAAATCAAAGAAACAATCAGTTCCAATACAAGTAACCTAGAAGGTGTGAAAACATAAAAAAACAACCAATCACGTCCAAAGTCACCGGGAGAAATGATTAATAAACTCGTGGAGAAATCTCAAAGCTCACTTCAATTCAAATTGAAGTATGCGCTGAAGATGTCACCTAGTAGGGTGATGAAAGCTTCTCAAATTAACTATCCAGCTCAGAGAACACAACCACATCAAAATCATCCACCTGAGCTACAAATCTTCTCTATCATATCTATAATCTACGACAATTTTCTGATAGTAATACCTGGTTTAAACGATCCTTTTGTTTGTTATCATACATTTTTGATGTGGCGTTGTGTTCTATCTGATCTGGGTGGTGTTCATTATTGGCGAAGCGTTCATTATCCTCTTTCGAGACAACATCGCTTCAACTCATCTTCTTTCATGACTGAGAGGATCTAATTGTATCTCTCTCTCTCCCTCTCCTGACAACCAATTTGTCGTGATTGGTTGCATTAATTTGCATCAGTATCAACGTTTGTTTTTAATGTCAGAATGTTCTTTTAGTTCCTTCTTGAGGATAGTTTCTTGTTAGTAGTAGTAGCAGTAGTAGTCTGATTCGAGTTTAGACACTATATTGATGAAATTGTCAAAGAGGGGGGTATCCATTTTTCTTGAAGACAGGTGGCAAATATTTCTCTAATATTCTCCTCAGGACACGAGTACGGCGGATTTTGTTTTAGCCCTTTTGAATAATTTTTTATACACAGTTCCTTTTGTGTGTTGTCGGGCTGTTGTTGTTGTTGTTGCTGTTTTATTTGAGTATGGTTTGGTTTCCTGTGTACATGTGTGTCTGGATTGCCTGCGTTTCTTCTGTTGACGACTAAGACAATTTCATTGGATGGAGGATTTCATCATGAGCTGACACCAGTTAACGAACCACTGGAAAACGTGGGGCAGCTGTTTCAACCTAGATTTGGACTCTTCATTAATACGCACCCACCGGGCTTCGAAATCCTCCAACCAATCGAACAACACCCCTACAAAAAAAGAATACTTGAAAATTCATCTGATACTCACTAACTAGCGAATGACCCTATTCAGGCAGTTAACCTGGAGTTCTTAGTGGAAAGCCTTGACCAGTAGGATACAGCAGATTGAAGGTGGGGTCAGTTACTCATCGAAGAAGACATTGCAAAATGGTTGCGCTGTGTCATGAAATGGCAGAAGCTAGAATTCATTGGATCGGTTCCCAGTGGTTGGCTTAATGGTCTACGAGCTCGCTCACCTTGTAACCAGAAGATCCCGGGTTGGAACCCTGGAGGTGGGTGGGTGCGTGCTGCTGAAGAGTCTCAGACTAAACTGACGAAACCAGTACTCCCAGCTGGTTTCCCAGTGGTTTTCTAACTGATGTCAGCTCATGATGAAATCCTCCATCCAATCGAATAAAATCCCTACAAAACCAATACTTGAAAATAAAGACAATTTCAATTGTAGAAATCAATATAGGCTACATAGGAGAGATCATTGAAAACCAGCGAGCAAGCACTACTGGACAGCTATTTCACTTTGAAGCTATCTGTAGTGTCAAGCTGAAGGCATTTGTGACTGCATTGCATTGAGTAGTAGAGAATAAATTATTATTATTACTATTATTAAAAGCACAAATATTCTCACAGTTTCTACGACGGTTGAGATACTGTCTGGGCTCACAGACATCTATGCAGATGGTTGTCTTAAGAAACCACGCCGTGCACACACTGTGCCTTTGACTTGATGAAGACTGATTCACAAGACAGTGGAACAACGTCGCCACAAGCTACGTTCCCATTGTTTCCAGTGTCCAAAACGCTATTTGATCCTTTCGGATTGTTGGACCCACGTACACTGTGTAGATTTTGAATCAGGGTTTTCCATCGCCCCTCCTTAAGACTGACGCTCGTGGATATGTGTCTACCAGTCCGATTGTAGGCCGTGGGCGTTCGCGTTCACCGTTTCACTTTTTTGTGGGGAACACCCGTGCTGCGTGAAGGCGGTGATCAATAGGACTTATCTGGTAGGTGTTCGCGCCGGGCATTTTGAAAGGATGACTGAAATCTACCCATCATCCACGACTCCGTATCTGGTCGTTTTTGAGAGCTCGACAGTCGGAAACATATAATAATAATAATTATTATTACTATTATTGACCTTATCCAACAATAATCCAAACAAAGGCAGGCATTCAAGGCGTGAAAGCCCGCTGCCCAGTTTAATAGTCTTATAGATCTTATCGCTTAGTGTGTATCAAAACGGGTCGTCGAATGTTGACTTTCAACATGTTCGTTTTACTTTCTATCGGAAAAAAAGAGGCAGTAGGCATCAATTATTGTGATTACGTGCATACAAACAAGTTTGTTGTTTTCATGTCAAATATTAAAGCTATACAGAATAGTTTCACACCTTTGTTGGACAATATTTGTGCATATCGAATGGGATAATTTATTAGAAACAAAACGAATATGTTAGTGTGAGATGTGATTGCTACAACCAGAAAGGATGTGTTGTTATTGTGTGTAGGCCTGTGCAATCGATAATCTGAGAGGAGAAAGGCAAAACAATTCAGCATTTCTACAATTTCATGTTGTGCTTTCCCTCACCTCACCTCCCCACCCACTTACCACCAACCCTGTTAGCTACTAGATTGTTCACTCAATATTGTTTATTCTTGTGTGTTATTGGTGTTGGTGTTTTTTTTTATAAAAAGAATATCCACAATGTTTATTTTATTTCATATATATGTGCTAAATTTATGTTATCTCTAGTAAAATTAATATACATGAAGGTAGATGATGGATTAATAATGTGAAAATAGCTACAGACAGGCTTCAGTTGTTTTACCGGCAAGATTGGCTGGCTCAACTCCTATTGGTTAATTATTTTTGATTGTCAAACCCGTAGAGTTAGTATGTGTAGGTGTGTGTGTGTGCAGATGCGCATAACACATGTTCAATAAAAACAAATTGATCTAATCAGATAACGAGAAACATACAAAACGTTTGAAATGTCAACGTGATAACAGTTCTGGAACCTGGTAATATCTCAGTTCAGTAATGTGTAAACAGTAAAAGATTGTATTTCGTCATTTGTGTAGACCTCTAGATTTATTTTGACGTCAGCAACTGATAGATCTAGAGAGTAGTGTGAATTTCCTGGACACATGATCCGATGTGATTTGTTTTTAATTCCATAATTTTTGTATTTCTTTTTTTGATTGTATAATATGACATGTCGACTCCTAGAGTTATTTATGGGTGCTTTGACAATGTCTTCTGAAGATGATCAGTGTTTAGTTGGTGGTGGTGGTGGTGTGACTAGCAATGGTGAAATCCACTTCCACTTGGGGGGGGGGGTTCGTCAGTTGGATGTCCCTGTAGTCTTCAAGAGTTTGTACAGATTTGATGATCTGATTCAACTTGGATCACGGATTGATTGATATCAGTTAGAGAAGAACTATTGAAAATCAACAAGGAGTAGTGAACAGGACTGTTTCGTCCGTCATTGTTCTTCGGGACTCTTCGGTAGTACGCACTCACCTAGTAGTTACAGGACGAAATTGCCTGGAGTGAGTTCTAGTGGAGTTCACCCGACTAGACTTGCCGATAACATTGGCGCCGAAAATCACGAATTGATAGAAGTTGGAATTCATGGGCTGGCTACGGATTATTGGATCTCAGGGGCTGACTAGTCGTCTATTATAAGTTTGCTTTGCAACTGATGAAAGCTCCTTGGTTCGAGTCCCCAGTGGTGGTAGGTAGGTGCATGCACTACCGAAACAGCTCTGTCCAGTATTCCACATCAGGGTTTCAATAGTTCTCTAAGTAGATATCAAACTTGTTAGCTGTAACCCCAAGTGAGTGGTGGCGTCCCGTCCCGCCCCCCGTGTAACTTGAATCCATTGTGATGTGAATAGTAAACAGCAAAGTAGAATATTCATATATATCAGTGGTGATTCCAACACAAAATGTAGATCATTACTCACTCTACTATACACACAGTCTGGAACGGTTATCTGTCACCGCTATGATTTCACCTGTGTTATTCTATCTTAACTCAAAATATATCACTAACGTGAGTGTTGGTGTTTCAGTCAGTGGGATCTTCTTCTCTTAATAATGATCTAAGTATCGATGTGTGTTATCAAAATACAGACAGGGGTAAGTGGAAAGTTTTAATCACAGATGAATGGCCCTCTTTTCTATTAGAAATTGCCCCAATGTGTACACAAATGAGGAGTAATTTCCGGTTTAAACAATGAGATGATAAATTTTCAAGTATTAGTTTTGTAGGGAATTTTGTTTGATTGGCTGGAGGATTTCATCATGAGCTGACATCAGTTAGGGAACCATTGGAAAACCAGCTGTTTCGTCCTAGTTCGGGACTCTTCATCAGTACGCACCCACTGGACTTCGAAATCCTCCAACCAATCAAACAACCCCCCTACAAAAAAGGAATACTTGAAAATTCATCTGATGCTCACTAACTAGCGACTGACCCTATTCAGGCAGTCAACCTGGAGTTCTAGTGGGAAGCCGTGACCAGTAGGGTACAGCAGATTGAAGGTGAGACAGTAACTCACCGAAGAAGACATTGGGAAATGGTCGCGCTATGTCATTCATGAATTGGCAGAAGTTAGAATTCACGGGTTGGGCATTGGATCGGGTCCCAGCGGCTTAATGGTCTACAAACTCACTAGGTCCTGGGTTCGAGTCCCAAGCTAGACTGACGAAACAGCTATCTGGCAGTACTCCCTATGGCTGTTTTTCCAATGGTTGTCTAACTGATGTCAGCTGATGATGAAATCCTCCAACCAATGAGATGATAATTTCTTTAGGTGCATTTAACATTATATTGTTAATCCTACGTTATTTGCCCTCTATTTTTAACTTTTTACCATTTTTTATTTGTTTTTTCTTTTCATTTCTTCCCCTCCCCTCGCCTCCCCAACTTCATGTCTTCATGAATCCCAATTCGGTGATGATGATGACAATGTCCAATATGTGGAAATATCGTATCATAATATACAATTCATACATGTATTATTATTATTACTTTTGTTCAAAATTGATCAGATCACCTTTGTAAAACAACATGAATTACACCTTCTGCTATTACTACTTCAAATGTTTCCCCCCTCCGTTTCTCTCTTTCTCTTTCCCTATACAAATGGTTCATTCAGTCTCCGTGTTAACTTATTAACTAACATGGCTGTGCTAGTCTTATACATGAATGTTGTGGTGAATGGAACAACAACTGCAAAAACCCTCCTATTCTCCTGTGTATTGATTGTCTTCTTAACACCACACCTTTAGCGCTCCTTTAACACATTATTTTCTATGAATCAGTCTAGGTTAAGAGTGTTTGCTGCGAGCTCAAGTGCAAAACAAATTGTGAATATATATTTGAAGGTGTATCCTCTTTCTCCCTTTCTTTCTTTCTTTCCATCTTTCCTTCGTTGTTTGTGAAACCCCCACTAGAAGCAATAAAGATCTCAATTGAAGAAATTTTTTTTCTATTTCAATTCTTTGCATAACACTATCTCTATCTATCTACTATTTGCAATTCCGATATCTTTCTTCTTAATTATTCCATTAATGTTCTAATTCTGCGTCTTTGCATTCATATATATATGTACAGTAATTGTAATGTGTATGTATGTTCGTGCGTGCGTGTGTTGTATGTGTGTGTGTATGTATGTAACTATAAAACTGTCCTTCTGTATTCGTATGTAAAAATATACACATATATATATGGATGAATACTGTCTCTTTCTCTCAGATGTTTATGGATTTGTGGGGTGCGTCGGTGGCACAGTGGTGTAGAATGCTCGTCCCGCGTCAACCACACCACCTGAGTGGTCTGCGATTCGATCCCCGGCCACTGGACGCGCACTGCTCTTTACCTCGCTTGCGCTAAGCCAAGTAGTAGTAATAAGACTGGTAAGGGAAGGTTGGGCATGAGGCTGGTTAACAGCTGCATCCCGTAAAAGAAAACACTCTACTGCTAACGAAATTTCAAGCCTCTAGCTTTAAGCCCTATGTTCCAGCACTGGGAACGTAAAGGAATATATATATATATATTTAGAACAACACATTTAAGCGAACAATATTGTTTTCAATTAGATCTCATCAGGCTTAACTCTAATATACCTACATAAGTTTACAAATAAAATTCAAATATAAACCAATCATGGTGTTTTGTCTATAGGATAATACGATGGTGAATATAAATTGTGCAATTAGTCAATAATAATAGTAACCATAATAATTATAGTAATAATAGAAATGGTCTTATCAATAACAAGGATGAAAAAGTGAGGCAATCTGTGATAACACGAATAATGAAAAACAGCATGATTAAACAAACAAATCTGTTCAGGTGGAAGTAGTCGATAAAGGCTAGTAAAAACAAATGAACCGATTAAGTAATGTTCGATTGTAAGGGAAGGAAATGAAACACGTTTATAATGAAGATAAGATTAAGGGATGATAAGAAAGGGGTTGAAAATATCAACAAAGGGTGGTGTAGAAGTGATTAGTTGGTTACGTTTTAATAGGCCAAGGGAGGGATAATGGCCGTGTACGAACTTCTTTTGAATGCATAGTTTAGGTTTAATAGTTATTCGAATGCCTATCGCCTGCCTCAGCTGTGTGTAGTAGACGAATACGAAATCTATTGGAAAGATTCGGTGGGATACGATGAATCACTTTGAAGGCTCTCGTTTTCTCGATTACATGACCACTATCAATTAAGTGTGACAAAATTGAGCTACGGATTGTTTTTGTCTGTCCTTTGCCAAACCACGATGGGAGATGCTCACTAACACGTTGGCTAAGCTGTCTAGTAGTACGCCCAATATAACTGTCACCGCAGGTGCAGTTGAATTGATAAATGCACATAGATGTGGCAAAACTGTCAAGCTTATCCTTCGTTTGCGTCGCAATCATTCGTCGGCTAGAGAATGACAAACATAGGTGTGCAGCGTAAAATGTTCTTCGTATACTCCTAGAAAGTCTTTGGAATAGAATCTCACTTGATAAGTCACCATTAAATTGTAACTTAATAAGCTTGATAGTTTTGCCACATCTATGTGCATTTACCAATTCAACTGCACCTGCGGTGACAGTTATATTGGGTGTACTACTAGACAGCTTAGCCAACGTGTTAGTGAGCATCTCCCATCGTGGTTTGGCAAAGGACAGACAAAAACAATCCGTAGCTCAATTTTGTCACACTTAATTGATAGTGGTCATGTAATCGAGAAAACGAGAGCCTTCAAAGTGATTCATCGTATCCCACCGAATCTTTCCAATAGATTTCGTATTCGTCTACTATACACAGCTGAGGCAGGCGATAGGCATTCGAACTATTAAACCTAAATTATGTATTCAAAAAAAGTTCGTACAGCCTTTATCCCTCCCTTGCTGGCCTATTAAGACATAACCAACTAATGACTTCTACATCACCCTTTGTTTATATTTTCAACCCCTCTCTTATCATTCCTTAATCTTATCACATCTTCATTATAAACGTGTTTCATTTCCTTCCCTTACAATCGAACATTACTTAATCGGTTCATTTGTTTTTACTAGCCTTTATCGACTACTTCCACCTGAACAGATTTGTTTGTTTAATCATGCTGTTTTTCATTATTCGTGTTATCACAGATTGCCTCACTTTTTCATCCTTATTATTGATAAGACCATTTCTATTATTACTATAATTATTATTATTATTATTACTATTATGACTAATTGCATAATTTATATTCACCATCGTATTATCCTATAGACAAAACACCATGATTGGTTTATATTTGAATTTTATTTGTAAACTTATGTAGGTATATTAGAGTTAAGCCTGATGAGATCTAATTGAAAACAATATTGTTCGCTTAAATGTGTTGTTCTAAATTTTACTATGGGAATATTTAATATATATATATATATATATATATATATATATATATATGGATTTGTAGTTTATGAATAATCCCTCCTATTTTAGTGTAAGTGTAGGCACTTGGGCTTACTGTGGTGGTAGAATATGTAATTCTATATTAGATAAGTTTATTTTACATACAATGGAGAAGATTTTTAGCTCAGTTGGACGGTTTTAATGTAGTTGTGTTCTCTGAGCTAGCTGGATGGTTTATAATTGCTAAGCTTTCATGATTGTCCTACTAGGCAACATCTTCAGCGCACGCCTCGATTTGAATTGAAGTGAACTTTTAAGATTTCTGCACGAGTTTACTAGTCATCTCTCCTGGGGACAGTGAATGTGACTCTTTGGTGTTTTTGTGTTTTCACACCCTCTAGGTGGCTACTTGTATTGGTACTGATTGTTTCCTTGACCCTTTGCGTATGAGATTTCCTTCTTATCGATTGGGCTCATTGCAGCACTCATACCATAAGGAAAATTGAAGAAAGATATCTCATGGATGTCTTCCAAAAGAATGGATGAATATCCACGGGACTTTATCTATAGACATCTTCCCCAACGCCAAATTGACACATTAAAGGCCGTCAAGGAAAACACAAAGAAAATCACCCCCCCCCACCACATGTAAAAGACAACATCTCAGAAATCATTGCAAGACTCTTCAATTCTTTAGGAATTGATGTCGGACACAAACCAACAAAATCACTTCACTCAGTTGGTTCTGTGTTAACCAAATGACTCAACAGAGAAGGTAGATAAAAGCAAGATCATCTACAAAGTAAGTTGCAACGGCTAGGAAAAACACTACATTGGCCAAATGGACGTCTTCGCATCCATGAACGTGAACTATCCGTCGAGAGTCATGATGTCACAGCAAAAGTCAAGACACAGAAACCAAGGTATATTTTTCATTGATCAAACCGCTGCATACAGACAACCACAGACGTTCAAGGTCGACAGGAGAGATGACTAATGGTGAACTCGTGGAGAAATCTAAAAGCTCACTTCAATTCAAATTGAAGTATGCGCTTAAGATGTTGTCTAGTCGGGCAATGAAAGCTTTGCAACTATAAACCATCCAGCTAGCTAAGGGAACACAACTACATCATAAAACAGTTTATTTTAAATGTCACACAGCGATGTTGCAGTATTCACAACTGGATGACAAGGTTTCGAGCATAAATTATCACCAATTACAATCAATATCAATTTTTGTCACATAGCTTCACAATTTATCTTATCTATATATTTTCTCATTATTCTGTTTCTCCAACTTCCCTTTGTTGTTTATTGCCACTTTCCATATCTCCAGTATAGTTGGCGTTGCGTCATTCCAATTGCACGTGTACGGTGTTGCATCTATAAACAAAGCTTTAGTGATCAATCTCTCTTTCTCCACCTAACTAACTATATTACTTCTCTAATACTCTCGCCCTGTCCTATCCACCCTATTTTGTAATTACATACAATTGAATGCAATGTAATGGCTGAGCTCTGTTTTCTAGATTATTTAACTTAACAGGGTCAATCATCATTTTAGATCCAGCTAAATTTTTATGTTCCAATAATCTAGTTGACCCTGATCTACTAGTTTGACCTATGCTTTAATTAACTTCATAGTTAGGATAATTGACCCTGCTAAGTAAGTTAAATAATCTAGAAAAAACAGAGCTCAGCCATTGTACTGCACTGCATTCACTTGCATGTAGTCACAAAACGGGCAGATGAGACGGTGAAAGTATTAAGAAGTAATGTAGCTAGATAGAGTCAGGTTGGTCGGTTTTCGACATAGAACTTTGCACATATGTGCGGCAGTTCAAGTCGCCACTCTCCCTCCATGTAGCACACAAAGCAAGAGAAGAAAGTAGAAGAAATGCATATTAGAGACAGTAAACAGAGGTGTGAGACAAAGGAATAATAATAACGGAGAACAAAACAGTTTCATTGGAAATCATAAGTCAGTCACAAGGAGTGGATGCATCTGCACCAGCCATTGAGAACGATCACTTTGAGCCATGTAACCAATTGTTTCCACCCTTCATTGGTTTTCACCGTCCCGAGGACCACCCAACCAGTCAGGAAGCCAGTCTACACCTTCCTACGTGGCTGGCCTAGACTAACTGTTGTGGATTTCATTGACCGAT